TATACCTAAAATCCTGAGAGGAGATTGGAGGAGAAGGGATTGTGGTGTGACCATCCCCCCAGGGGGTGATTTCTCACTTTCTGTCTCTCCGGAGAGTGCATGTGCCTTATAGCAAAAATACCTCTCTCAAAAAAAATTTACACATTTTTTTCAGTTAACTTTTCTTTGAGGTTTTAAAAAGATATAAAAATAGTTTATATGTACAGTTCAGTTCCTTCAAACTTGTATCAATAAAAGGATATTTACGGTTGCCTGTTTTGTGTGAATAATTTAAGAACTGTTAGGCCCTCTACTCTGGCAGAAATAATTAGGCTGGGTGCTCTAGGACTTAGAACTAAATCCATTTTATCCTGTTTTTCCTTTGTGTGTGTGTGTTTTTTTTAGATTGTTATACAAATTTCATTTCTTTTACTGACTTCCTTGATCCTTCTCACCCTTCATCCAGCTCCTAGCCCCAGTGTGGCCCATTACTTTGCCATTTTCCATTGTGGCTGTAATTCTATGATGGGTTTACTCTGTATTGAATTGGTTTCTAAAACTGCTGGAGAGGTTTTCAGAAGACAAAGCTTAGTAGATGGCAGACTCGAGACTCTCTCTGCAGAGCCCTCGTCACAGCAGGTGTCATTCGGTTTAGGAAACGGTTCCCAGCCCTTGCTGTGTCTTCCTTCACAGGACTCCGTTACATTGCGCTGCCTCGTGTAACAACGTCCAGGTGTGTAAGTTTTTGGTGGAGTCGGGAGCTGCTGTGTTCGCCATGACCTACAGCGACATGCAGACTGCCGCGGACAAGTGCGAGGAGATGGAAGAAGGCTACACTCAGTGCTCCCAGTTTCTCTATGGTAGGGAACAGGTGCTGATTACTGCATTCACTTGTCCTTTATCTCTAGGGTATAATGTCATGAGTATTTCTTATTATTTGGAAAAAATCTTTGTGTTGTACAAAGTCCTGGGCATTGAAAATAGGACAGCCTTAGTCAGAAATAATGATAGAGCTTCTGTGTATGTGCCTAGAAATAGCTATTGTCATGGGACATCTCCAGCTACAAAAGACAATGATGCAGCATCTGACCCAGTGAGTTCATGGCTTCTGACCATCAAAAGACCCTCTGTTCAGGCTGTAGTACTTAGCTGGGGAGGGTGTATCTTTGCAAATCAGTAAACAGAAGCCCCTCCTTCGAAGATGAGCAAGAGAAATGCAGCATCTCTATGAGAATCCAAATGATCCTAATTTTCTTCCAAATCGAACTTGTCGTAAGATAATATAAAGGCAACCATATTTTGCTAATGTTTTGCTCTTTTGTCTTCTTGATTTTTTAGTTTACAGTTCTGATTGCTGGCATCAGACTTTTATCTAGAGAAAAATGGACTTGAAGTTTTAGATAGATATATGTATATTGGCTGGCATTTTTATTTACAAGGGAAATGTCTTTATTCACAAGGCTTAGATGTTGAGGCTAATTTTCTCTTCAGTTTGACTGGGAAGAATTGGGGATAGGAGGAAGACAGACAAAGGAGGAGGTCCTGGGGCTCCACATGGCTCCTGTTCTCAGAAGCTCCTTTACTGGATTTAAACATCACTTGGACATAATACTTTTTTTTTTCTTTTTTAAAGAGATTTTTGCTATAGGCCACATGTACTCGTGGGAGACAGAGAGAAACAGACAAAAAGTGAGAAATCATCCCCCAGAGGGGTGAGCCATGCCACAATCCCTTCTCATCCATTCTCCTCTTGGGATCTTGGGCACACCTGTACACACACTGGTATGAGTTTCAAGCCCCCAGGGACTGGGACTCGAACCACAGTTGACCTTGTGGGAGTCCAGTGCCTTAACCATTACGCCACCTGCTGGTAGACACAGTGCTTCTGAACTTTTTCTCTGCTCTGAGCATTAGGTAAAAAATGAAGTAATGTTTTTAGAATTCCTTGGTCATTACACTTAAGAGTAGGTTGAAGTTTTACAGGCATGTCATTTACTTTTTTAATATCTTGGACTTTTTTTTAGTTCTTGGGGTTGCAAACATTTTTTGTACTCTGAATAAGACCAATATTGAGAGATGCTTGTAAGGCGCTGGTTTTTTTTAGAGCTGTTTTAGAGGTGACAGCATTTGTTAATGTGCCTGTTGTAGTCTTCTTGCACACTGCTCTGGCCTTCCACTTGTTTTCCCCTACCCTGGGAAATTGATTTATCAAATGTTTGATATTGCTGTTCTAAGCCAGTACCATTTCTTCCCATTTTGTTTCATTCAGCTAAGAGAGAGTGGGGTACTCTGAGTTACTAATTCTATGATCTTGCTGCCCTGTTTTTAGGCGTTCAGGAGAAAATGGGCATAATGAATAAAGGAGTCATTTATGCACTTTGGGATTATGAACCTCAGAATGATGATGAGCTGCCCATGAAAGAAGGAGACTGCATGACGGTCGTCCGCAGGGAGGACGAGGATGAGATCGAGTGGTGGTGGGCACGCCTTCATGACAAGGAGGGATATGTTCCACGCAACCTGCTGGGAGTAAGTTATTCTGATACACGGGCATGTTTGTACATGTGTCAGACCTGGGCTTGGCAGGAGCTGCTGTGTGTCATGGGCACAGTGCAGCGAACTGCCCTTGGTTACATGGACTGGCATTTTTTGACAGTCTCGGCTGTTGATTTACAGGTCTGCTTTCAGTGATTCCTCCTGTGATGATCAGCAGTGTATTTACGTGTCTGCCAGTCCTTAGAGTTCACAGGTCCCACCAACATTATTGAACAGACTAAAGACTGGATAATATGATCAGAATTGAACTTGCGCTATTTGAAATAAACTTTAAATCTGTCTAAATCAGGATTTGCAAATCAGGTAGAGAGCTTGAACAGGGCATTAGGTACAAGATTCTTTGTTCTTTCTCTACCATTTTATATGAATGAAAAAAATAAAGTCACTAGAGCACATAAAAGCCAGTAACTTTTCTGTGTTAGTACAAGGGACTGCTGTTGTCAGGTAAAGATTCTTAGGAGTATTTTCAGGGAAAAGGCTCGAATGTAGTTGGACAGAGGGGAGCGAGCAAGAACACCGTGTTTCAGGGCTTTGCATGAAGCTCTGTCATAGATGGAGTATTCTCGTAGGTGGTTATTTGTGTAGGGGCCATGTTGGGTGTGTGAAGGAGGGTAAGAAATGATCAGGATAATTGAGAAATTGGGATAGAAGGTTAAAGGTAAAAGTGCTTGTAAAATCTGTTGGTGAGGAGGTAAGGAAAGGCTTGAGGGAAGGAAGGACCCTCTGGGGTGCACAGTACAGAAGGTGCCCGACTTCCAGTGGGGATTTTCCAGCTTTTTTTTTTTTTTAAATAAAGAACTATTGTATTTAACTCTACTTATTATTACTTTTTTAATTTGACCAGAGACAGAGAGGGAAAGTAAGAAAGCAAACCACGAGGTCATGGATTTGAACTGTAGTCAGCCATGTGGGAATCCAGTATCTTTAACCACCATGCCACCTGCTGGCCCCTCAGCTTTTTTTTTTTTCGAAGTTCATTTATTTATTTTCTGTATGAGAGAGAGGAAGAGAAGGAAGAGGAGAGAGACCCACAGAGACAGGCCCCAACAGGGTTGTCACGCTGTGATCCTCCTCCCTTTCCAGCCATCAGGATCCCTGACGTGGTCAGGGAGAGCCAGGGCTGCAGACCGGGAGCCTTTCTCTGTGCTTCCGTGAAAAGGAGCATGACATTACTGCTAGGCCACTACGCTGGTCTGGGGGTTCTCAACACTAGGATCGTGCAAAAATGACATGTGTCCAGTAGTAACTGTACTTCATACTAATTCAGCCATTCTGCTTTTCATTTTCACTATGATGATCAGTAAATTACATGAGATATTTAATATGCTGTTATAAAACAGTCTTTGTGTTAGATGATTTTGCCCAACTGTAGGATAATGTTAAGTTTTCTGGGCATGTTGAGGGTAGTCTAGGCCAAGCTATACTTGGTAAGTTAGGTGTATTAAATGCATTTTTAACTTAGGACATTTTCAGCTTTCAGTGGGTTTGTCAGGATGTAACCCCATCCTAAGCTGAAGAGCATCTGTTGAATATCTGTATTGGCACATGGGTCACGGCACTGGCCCCCACATCCTTCAGATCCACCTGCAGTGCTTATCTGGGTGACCACACAGTGGGAGGAAGGAGGGGTGCTGGAGAACCTCCCTCCTACCATCATGGTGAAGATAGGGCCGAGCTCCCACCTAGAGCAACTGCAGGGTGTCATGACTGGTATTTCCTTCGAGTGTCAGGCAGATGCAGGCTCCAGCAGTGGGGCGTTGCCACTCTGCCGCGTGGGCCATGAGCAGGCTTCTGTCTGCAAATGTCCTGCTGCCTCGGCAGTGCGCTCTGTGGGGTTCTTTGCGTGACCTCCATGTTGGGACTTGGCTGTCTGGGTTCTGCCTGGCCTCTCCTCCTGACTCTCCCTTCCCCATTGTTCATCTGATGTGCCATTTCAATGACCTCATACAGGTCTCTTGGACAAGTGTAATCTCTTGCACATAGCCATTTTCCTTCCTTCTCTAGTAAACATCAGTGGTAAATAAGCACTTCTGCTTTTATACTTTTCTTATCTGAGAAAGGCTCTATTCCTTAGTGCTAGTTACTTGAATATTTTAATTTTCTTAGTATTAAATTGACAAATGAAAATTTTATGTATTTATGATGAATAGTACGATGTTTTGAAAACGTGCATACATTGTGGCATGGCTAAATCAAGCTAATTAACATATTCATTACCTCACTTTTTTTTTGAGAACACTTAATATCTATTTTCTTAGCAATTTTCAAGAATATAATGCATTGTTATTAACTGTAGACACAATGGTGTATAATAGATGTTATGAATTATTTAATTTTTTTTTTTTGGAGGGATTTTCACTATAGGGCGCGTGCGCTCGCCAGACAGACAGACATAGAGACAGAAAGCGAGAAATCACCCCCCAGGGGGGATGGCCACGCCGCAATCCCTTCTCCTCCATTCTCCTCTCGGGATCTTGGGCATGCACGCACACGCGCCCGGCATGAGTTTTAAGCCACCGGGTCCGGGACGCGAACCGCGGTCGCCTACATGGGAGTCCAGCGACATAGCCATTACGCTAACTGCTGGTTCCCAATTATTTAATTTTTTTGACAAAGAGGTCCGGTGGGTAATGAAACAGGGCAAGAATTATTTGCTCCCGAGGGTGGCAGCAGCCGAGTTCTGCCTCTTGTATATGTGGCTTCGAGAGGTTCTTAACAGATTAGACTGAAGGGTTCCATCTCAGTCCTCAGCTAGATGTTCTTAGTCTTGCAGAAGTCTTTTCTGGCTAGAAGTGTTTTTACACAAGATTTTTTGCTTTTCTTTCTTTTGCTGTTTTAAAAAAGAAAAGTGCATAAATGTTGAATTTTTATTTAGAGGCTTCAGTTTCTAGAAAACTGTGTTGGCTAAGGGACCAGCAGGTGGCGTGGTGGTTAAGGTGCTGGACACTCCCACATGGCTGACCCTCTCTAGCCAGTGGAAGAATGTATAAACGAGCAGCCTTGGACAGACAAAAGAGTCTTACATTACAGACTAATAAAAACAGGGGCATCTCTTCCTCTTGACAGCACATGCTTGCTTACATACTTGGGTAACAGTTAATGTCTCTTTCTGGAAATGAGGATGGGCAGGTTCTCTAGCAACCCCCATTTGACATCAGGGATTCCTAATGTCAGGGCCCCTCTCCCACAATGCACTCTGCTACATGTGCAGGCAACACCGAGCCCTCCTCATGTCACTCTGTGGGAACTGGGCCCTGGGGACCTGAACACGCTGTTACTCTGCCTACTGCTATTGCTCACAGTTGTAAAGTGCGCTTTGCCTCGGACCCAGAAGCTCGTGTTTTCTGGTCACGAAATGCGGTGACTTACCTCATGAACTGGCGCAGAGGATAGAGCCTCGCCCTGCCGTTCCTGCCGTGGCTGTGCTCCTTACACCTACATGGACTCTACTTAGGATGATGAAACTATAAGTAATACTAAGTAATTTCTCTCAAAGTCATACATTTCCAAATGAAACTAATCAAAGAAAGAACATTTAATATGTGCAAAGGGACTTCAAAAGTTCATGGAAAAATGGGAATTAAAGTTTAAATTTTTCTGGGGGTGACATTCAGCCAGCCATTTGGGGCGACGGACTTCTCCTCGCAGGACCATGGCCCAGTTTGTCCGTAACCTCGCGGAGAACGCCCAGGCGCTGGTGAACCTGCTGTGACTTACTCGAAGCCTCCTCGATTGGCCACATTTTGGCTTTATGCCAAGGTGGAGCTGGTTCCTCCAACCCCTGCTAAGATCCCTGCAGCTATTCAGAGCCTGAGAAAAATAGTAGCTTCAAACAGCTCACGGTTAAGGAAGCTCTGCTGCATGGTTTGATGGCCACAGAGGTGTGGATGTGGTTTTACCTTGGAGAGATTATAGGCAAGCGTGGCATTGTTGGCTATGATGTTTGAAGACCAGTCTTTTAACAGCTGATTATATACTTGATTTATATTATTTGAATGTGCTCAGACCATTTTGTGATCAGAATGCTATCTAAATAAAATAAGACATGCCAAAAAAAAAAAAAGAATTTCCTTATGTTCTCATGTATCTCTATAGTCTGTAAATAGTTTTTAACCTCTCTTACAGCTATACCCAAGAATTAAACCAAGACAAAGGAGCTTGGCTTGAAACTTTATAGAATTTCAGCTAATGAAGAATTAATCTGTGCTGTCACTAAGAAGTAATGTGATCATTCATGGCAAAACTTTCGTAAGACTTATTTTAATGACAATGTAGTTGGAAAGTGTTGAATGTGCTCTGGAAGAAAATGAAGGACAGAAGAAGTCGCTCTTAGAGGAGGGCATTCAGCATGATGCAGTGGACCTTACAAGTAAGCAGGACACGCCGCGTGGGCAGGTGAGCCATGGAGCACCCGGAAAGGCAAACAGCGACAATCCTGTGTTCTGCGAGATAGAGGACCATTTCTGGGACTGTTGGGAAACCAGCTTCCACACTGCCTGGGGGCTGTTGCAGCACCTGTGGGGTAGCAGCCCCCTTGCCTGAGGGGACCAGCGCCATCAAGGATAATCACATCTGATGGTCTCTCAGCAGCTCAGGGGAAGGCTCAGAGGTGTGTCATGCACTTGTCTTTTCAGTGAAGAACTGTTCGTCGGCTCTCAGTAAGCAGTAACTATGAATTCTTCTAGCATCTTAATTACATTGACACTAAGCAACACTACAGGTAATTTGATTTAGAATCTTGTTTTTAGGCTAAATTTGAATTTATATTTATTGTCTTTTTGTATTTTGGGAATTAGATACTTGTTATAGACTTACCCATGTTTGTCAAGATCATAGCTGACTTTACAACAATTGTAATAAATTTAAACTTTTTGACTTTGAGCTGCTTACTGGTTTTTATTTTTATAACACACGGCATTGTTTAAAGGTCACAGCAATTGGGGTACCTTACCCAGTTGAATACTAACAGATTGCTTATTGCAGACCTATGTACTGTGATAAGATTTCTTTGCCAGCCATGTGATTGAATGTAGGAAGTATTTCTTTGCTTACAGAAAACTCTTTGTTTTGCAATTCATGAATATGAATGGTCTTCGATATAAAATTAATTTGTTTAAAGACCTCAGAGATCCTGGTGATAGAAGCCTACTTGTACCTTTTCCCTGGCACCTCTAACAGACTCTTTTGGTGTCTACGTTTCATTCCAAGTTTGTTGTGGAATTATACATATGGATTTGTGTTGTCTTCACATTGTTTTATTAATGTTACCAAGTTTGTGAATTGTTTTGGAACCATTTTGTCCAGTGGGAATATTTTATTTAATAGAAGATAAAAATGAAATCCATGTGAAGGTCACTTTTCCTTATACTTGGTTTTGTTTTGGTTTTATTGTAGGGTGTGCACACTCACTAGAGAGAGGGAGGGAAGGAAAGTGAGAAATCACTACCACCTCCCGCCACCCCACCCCCGAAGATGGCCACACTGCAGTCCCTCTTCCTCCATTCTCCTTTCTGGATTTTTGAGCACACATATATGTTGCCTGGCATGATTTTCAAGCCATCAGGACTGGGACTTAAACTGTAGTCAGCCATGTGGGAATCCAGTGCCTTAAGCACCATGCCATCTGCCCCTCCTTAAACATTTTTATGAGTGCTAAATTCTAGCAAGGAAGGTAGATGAAAGAGCATATTATACCTGTCAGAGTCATGGAGAAAGAGTGGTAGCATGCATGACATGTCAGAAGATATGTGGTATATAAAATTCTAAAGACTTCCCCCCGTATCCCTATTTTCTGGCTCACTAATCTAGGTACTGCTGTGAAGGACTTTGCAGATTTAATAACTTTACTGATCAACTGGCTTTAAAATAGGGAGGTTCCCTAGATCACCTTGGTGGGTCCTGTGTAATGACATGAGGGAGGCCCTCAAAACAGAAAAGGCAGGAACCCTGAGGCAGGGGGAAGCCAGGAGACTAGGTGGAGAAAGGACTTCACCTGCCAGCGCTGGCTTTGAAGATGCAGGGGGTCGAGCCAGAGAATGTGGAAGCTGAGAGAGACCCCTGCTGACTGCCAGCGAGGATTGGGGACCTCAATTCTGTTGTCCCATGGTAGTGAACTCTGCCAAGCCACATGGGCCTGCCTCGAAATGAATTTTCCAGGTCTCCTGCAGGAACAAGTTAGCTCAGTGAGACAGGTGTTGGGCTTGGAAGCCACAGACCTGGGACGGGGTGTTTCTGAGTCACTGGGTTTGTGTTGATATGTTAGAGCAGCAACAGGAAACAGATACCCGAATTCTAGTCCATTGTGTGTCCTTGCCAGAACACGTGACCTCCCTGAGCCTTCCTGTAATCCAGGTAGTGGAGTTAAATACCATTTCCTTGGCGTACTTCAAGTTGTTGAGGAAAACCATACTAAGTACTGTAAAGCGCTTGGTAAACTGAAGAACAACATGAATGCATGAAAAGGGAAGATGTGAAAATTAGAAAACCTTGACCTCGGTTTTACATTTCTTAATTCTGAACTTAAAACACCTTTTGTTTTTTATTCTCTTTTTTTAGTGTTTTACTTGTTTTATTTTTAAAGTATCCTCATATCAAAGCTCTTTCTAGAAATACTTAAGGGTATAGAAAAAGGTCATGAAAGAGAGAGGAAAAGGACCATTTTAAAGGCACTGTTAACCTTGGGTATGTTTCTTTGTAGTCTTAGCTATAATTTTTTTCTCTATGGAGTTGAGAACATACTGTTTAAGCAGTTCTGTATTCTTCTGTTTTTATGCTTAACATTATATCACAAATACTAACATAATTTTTTTTTTTGGAGAGGTTTTTGCTATAGGGTGCATGCATTCTCTAGAAAGACAGAGAGACAGAGAGACAGAAAGCGAGAAATCACCCCCCCTAGGGGGGAGTGGCCACAGCACAGTCTCTTCTCCTTCATTCTCCTCCCGGAATCTTGGGCACGCATGCACATGTGCCTGGTGTGAGTTTAAGCCACCAGGTCTGGGACTCAAACCATGGTTGACTACATGGGAGTCCAGCGACATAGACATTATACCAACTGCAGGTCCCGGTACTAACATAATTTTAATGGTTGTGTAATCTTCCATTGTGTAATTTATTCAGTTTTTAAATGTTGAACATAGGGCTTTACTGTCTATATTTTTGTGTATTCTCGATGATGCTGTGGTCATATTTTTCTGGCAGTATACTCCTGATTCTTGCAAACCAAGGGGGAAGGAGGCATTTAGAGAATGGGTCATGCTAACAAGGAAGAGAGGGGCGTAGACTTTAGACATGCTCTTTTATTTTTAAGGTTTTTACCATAGGGCATGTGCACTTGCCAGAGAGGAGAGAGACAGTGAGAGGGAATGTAAGAAATCCCAATGCCCAGAGGACATGGCTGCATCGCAATCCCTTCTTCTCCATTCTCTCTCCTTCGAGGATTTTGGGCATGTGTGCACGCACGCCTGGTGTGATTTTCAAGCTGCCAGATCTGGAACTCAAACCATGATCTGCTATGTGGGAATCTAGTGCCTTAACCATTTGGCCCTGACATGCTTGGATTCTAAAGTCAGGAGAGCCACTGAGGAATTTCAGCAGGGGCAGGTTGGGTCATGTGAAAGATGTTAGTTAGCAGGAGAAGCAGAAGAGAAGGAAATCGGGGAAATGTATTAATACTAGGTTGTTGGGAAAATCATGACATTATTTGTCTTTGTTTTTCTATGCAAAACTGTGTCATGACTTTGCCCATGACCCAAAAGCTTCTTAAGAGAGGGAATAGTGAATGGTGTTAAAGGCAGTGGAAAGGTCCGGGGAGTCTCAGCTGGTCGGTGTATAGGAATTGGCATCAGGAGGTGACTGGTAACCATAAGAGCGGCAGTTTGGGAAGGCCGATAGGCTGTCATTAGCCAGAATGTGTTAGATGAAGGAGTGAGTGGGAAATGAGGAATTAGTGATCTAATGTGGATTCCGGGGGCTCGCCCGGGAGGAAGTGAGCCCTAAGTGTACTTTAGGGTACGGTAGGTACTTAGTTATGTTTACATG